GAATCGATGAAAACGGAAAAAAACGAAAAATGTCGTCAAAAATGCGAAAATATCGAAAATTTTGACAGTAGAGTGAGAGTATTTCTTGCATAACTCTGTCAGAACTTAACCGTTTTTCAAAAACCTATATATATTCTGAAAGAGGAGATCACGGGGCATCTCCCTATGATAAAAACTCAATTTCGGATTTTTTTCGAAAAATCGGTTTTTCTGAGGGAGGGGCCCTTAATTAGTTGGCAACTTTTATTTATCAGAGCCTCTATTCACTGAAGACACGGCTGTATATCGTAGCAAAGCCTCTTCATAAAGAGACTTGAATCGTGAATCATTACAGAGTTTTTTAAGAAAAAAGGAGTCGTATTATTTTAATATTAGATTACTCGAGTTTGTTCATACGTATAAGAATTGTTTTGAGTATTAGGTGAGCAATTTTTTTCTATTATACTTTCACATTGCTTATAAACGCAAGGTATTCTCTTGAGTGAACCTTCTCCTTTGATTTTGAAAAACAAGAAATTGATATTATATCTTTACTTTTGTGGACTTAAATTTGAAAAAACAGGGTAGCTCAAATGCATTAGTAGTAGATTTATAATTGTTTGCAAAATTCTAACCGGAGATTCTGATAAGAATTTCGTTCATCTATACATTTCTTGTAAGTCATTCGTTTATTAACTGATTTATTGTGATATTAATTATTTTTATTAAAACATGTGCATTACGGCTACCGGCACACGATTTCAATTTAAAAAAGAAGAAATAGTAACTATTATCATATAAAATCAATACCGATTCATTACACCGTACAATGTCAAAATTTTATTTAAATACAAATACATTGGCTGATCAGACATTATTGTCAAAAGCTGAGAACGCTCGGTTTGATGATTTACCGAATTTTTCGTGGCATCCTGCGGAAGATGCCGACCGTTTTTTGAAAAGTATTAAGAATATTCCAAAAGCTACCGATGAATCAAACAGCCATGATATTTTGGAAAATATGCGCGGCAAATTAACACAATCCGCTGGATTATAGTTCGATAATAATGAACATAATTTTAGAACATGGTCCGATTTTGAAATACATTTCCAAACTCCCTATTTTTCAACAACAATGAATCACACAAAATTTGATAAATTAAAACAATGAATTCAACTAACCGATGAACCAGTTACATCTTATATTGATGACGTTATTAATCTATGTCGTGAAATTGATTCACATATGTTCGATTCAATTGTTATTCAACATTTAATGAGTGGTCTGAATCCTGATTTTAGAAAAGAAATTTCTCGACGCGAATCCTGTATGAATACATTAAGCGAATTTTTTAAATACGCTAAGATTGAACAAGATTCATATGACACTTTTGAAAACTCTCGTCATTTAACCCTTGAATCGAAACACTCGAATTTTACATATAATCATACAACAATTCCATCATTAGCTGCTATGATTAAACAACCAAAACAACATTATCAAATTATGAAAATGAATGATCCTATTCGTCATGACAAATCAATGCAGAGATCCGTGTTTAAACGGAACTCGGGTTATTCACGTAAATCACAATCAACCCAAGTAAGCAAAAAATGAAGGGAGACTGCCGACATGACTAGTCAGAAATGTCCGCAGCATCTGTCTAGTCTAGTCTGAAACGTCTTGCATACCCGTCTAGTCTAGTCATCTTAATGAAGAGTGTCTTACAAACACGTCTGTACTAGTCTGAAATGTCCTTGAGCCCAGTCATGTCTAGTCCGGGTTGTCTGTTGACCCAGTCCAGACTAGTAAGAGGATTCAAAAACAGTTTACGCGGTGGGCCTGAACATCCAGCCGACATTTTTCGAAATATGACAGACATCCTGACGACAGACTAGGACACTGAGGTAGACTGCCGTAAGTACATATAGTCTAAAATCATAGATTGACTCTCATCCATACATCGAAAATCAGAAACAAACCGACGTAAATGGTATTGACTAGTCTGAAATGTCTTCAACAGCTATTAGGACTAGCCTGAAGCATCTTCTGGGCACCTCATGACTAGTCCTTTTTTAAGAAGTGTTTATTTTACTCAATAGTTATCGATTTTTTTTCTAGCTAGTAGGGCAATTAGAGAGTCTGCTGTAATCAACAGTGCATTCGAAAAGATTTGGTACATTGCGTACATCCCTGTCTTGATGCATTTTATTTTATTTTGCATTAGCATATGCTAAAAGTTGAAGAGTGTATCAAAACATAAAATAGTAGGGGTTAGTACTAACAACAAAATTCATCTCGTATTTAGGAGTGGTAATTTATATATTTTTTTTCAAAATGTGAGATGTACTAAATTTTAAAAAATTGAAAAGCATCTAAATCTTTTCTTATAATACTATTATGTTAGTTTATTTTAAATATCAATTCTAATAATTTAAAATAAACCAAAAATAATTTAATTATTGGATGAATATACGGTGATTTAAATTTAAAACTAACCTAAAAAATAATATGAAAAAAATTAGTTTCTTCCCGGTTTTATTTTTATACTCAAATTAATGTTTTTAAAACCCAACTAATTAATCGCACTTGCTTATAAATCAAAATAAATTTGTCGAAAAAATTATAAAATCTTCTTAGTTTATTTTTATTTAATGTTATCTAAAGTAATTACGTTTCGGTAACAGATAATTTTCATTGATACATAAACTTAAAAATTCGGAGTAAAAATTGTATTAAATAACATCTTAGAATGATCGTGAGTGTGTAGAATATGACTTCTCGATCATATGGCTCAATGGTTCTGGCGACGGGTAAGTAGCATATTGTATACATGTTCGAATCTAATCTTCATCCTTACATATTTCCATTCAGACTAGTCCAGGCTCGTCCACTATATAAGACTATAGCGGGTTGTATACTTGTCCAAGATGCCCTTAATTTTTTATTCATAAACCATCTTCGGACGGGCGACAGGAACACGCGTCACGACTACTTTTATTAGATTTTATGACTAGTCGTCAATCAGAGTACTAGGACGCATATGCGAGAATACATCCTATTCCGCAATGTTGAACATTCCGGAATCAGTTCCGCTCACGGAACCAATTCCATCCAATTCCCGAAATTCCGTTTATCCCTTCCAACACAATTCCGGAATTCCCGGAATCACTGCCGACCAATTCCATCTAATTCCCGGAATTCCGTTTATTCCATCCGATTCAATTCCCGAATTACACGGAATTCAAACGGATTCCGCCTAATTCCCAACGGTTCCGGAATTCAGTGCACTTACACTAACATTCACATCCATACTTATGCCAACACCCACACCGTGCAATTCCGGCACGGAATTCCGGGAATCAGGTCGAACAGGAATTGATCGGAATTGAACGGAATTACACGGAATTACACGGAATTCCTAGGAATTCCGTCTAATTCCCAGCGATTCCGTATTGACCTAATTCCGGAATTACGGACCGGAATCGGGTCATCACGAACTGGGTAAGACAAGCTAGAATAGTGATACAAGCTGTAATTTCGGAATTAATAGGAATTCTGTGTAATTCCTATGAATTCCCGGTGACTCCGCTTTCATTTAATTCTGGAATTGGACTGAATTCCGTGGAATTCCGGGAATCGGACGAACTAATTCTGGAATCGGACGAACTAATTCTGGAATCGGACGAAGGTATTCTGGAATCGAACGAAGCAATTCCGGAATCGCAGGAACTAATTTCGGAATCGATGGAACTGATTCCGGCGGTGGAACTGGTTCCGGAATGTTCAAGATTGCGGAATTGGATAACTGCTCACAAATTCAGATGAATTTATCACAAAAACCATTTTACACAAAATATTCTAATGATCATTCAACATTTCAACATCAACTTAATAGTTGCAAAATCTGTGGTCGACAAAATCATCGAACAATTGATTGTTTTCGCAAACGTACGACTGAATGTTTTAATTGTGGACAAAATCATTTTGTTCGTGATTGCACAATGCCTCCGAATTTTCAATAACTGGGCCACGTGACGGCGGTGTACCCAGTAAATTTATTAAGCCATCAACAATAACAATAACACCTTTTCCCGTTTATATCAAGATTCATGTAAATAATCAACCGACTGAAGCAATTGTTGATACAGAATCCGCCATCTCAATTATTCGTCTCGATTTTCCCAAAAAGTATTCAACATACCAACTTTATATATAAAAGTCGTATATGTCACACAGCAAATTCAACACCTCTTAATATTATTGGTCAAATGAAATTAAAAGTAAAAATTAGATTTATAACAACTTATGTTACTGCTCATGTCGCAACCAATTTAATTACATCAATTATTTTAAGCAATGATTGGATTAATTCAAATCATGTTCATCTCTTTGGTGATCAGAAACAATTAACAATTAGGGGTGTCAATTTACAGTTTATTTAATTTAAATTTGACTTCATGAAAAGTTAATTTAATTTTAAATTAAATTCTATCAAGTTAAATTTAAAATAAATTAAAATTAAATTTTTGAAAATGTTTTTCTTAATTTAATAAATTTTTTTAAATTTAAATTTTAAATTTAATAAATTGTTTGGATGGATACACACGATTGCTACGAGAGAAATACGTGACTTTAACAGTAGTAACTACTAAATGAGAGAAGAACCTAGTATTTTAGGTTAATATTTATTCATAATAGTCAAAATTTCTCTACAGATTACGCAGGATCCGTCATCTTTCTTCTTCAGAATACTGGGATACTCATAAAAATATATTTAATAGCACAATTCATAGAAGAATGACTAGTTTTAACTTTAGAAAACAGGAAACACACTCAAATTTGACTTTAAATAGTAGCAATCAAGTCAAAAACTATTTTTATCTGCTAGTTTTCAAAATTTAACTAATTTGAATTTCAAACAATTTAATTTATTTTAAATTTAAATTTGACACCCCTATTAACAATTCTTCATCAACATGGTCAATTAATTTCAATCCCGTATGTGGAACCTAGTGGTATCAATTATCCTGCACTATAAGTTCAGCAAATTCACAAACTTTGGTCGACATTACATGTCAAGTTAATAATGATCACAATATACTATTTGAACCATATGCACGTCATATATCCGACTTCCCTGCACTTTTGCTTTAACGTTATACGAACAACGAAAGATATCAGATAGGCAATGATGTATAAGTGCTTGACATTGAATTTATACCAACTAAGAATTTGGATTTGATCAAAAGATTCAGATTTATTGGTAGAAATAATCATCATAAAATGATCTGCCAGAGGAGTCACGGATTGAATCGTTCTTTTATCATTGATTTGCCTTCAATGATATATGAATGATTATAAGTATTGAATAGAATTAGTTCTTTTCTATAGTACCGATCTTTCTCATTATTAACATATGATAGGAATTTTCTCTAAAATTTTCAATTGCCCCTAAAGTTTCAAAAGCGAACTGACGAATTTGTTATTTGCAATTGTTAATACACAGAAATCGTAGTATCAACGGAAAATTTCATTATTAAAAATGTCGAGCCAATATTCGGTTGTTATGAACCCGGCAGTACAAAGTAACCTGTTAGAAAATAGAAAGACAGACACATCTAAATAGTTGTCAGTATTCCTGACGATGCGGAAAAATAATTGTCCCATACGTTGGTGTTACCTGGAGAACGTAACCTAGACAAAATGTATATTTCGAAGAAAACAAAGTTGAGTAGAAAATATTATGATAAAAGGTCGAAATAGAATCACCGATGGTACTTGTGTTCCAGATGATCTTCTTCATGTGCCACAACTTCATTCATTCACTTTCTATATTAGTACTTCTATTGACATTGGAGACTTATCTCAAAATCTATCTCATGAACATATCCAGCAAACATTGATAAATATCGGACAACAAAATGCGAATTCTATCATCAATAATCTTGGTACATCCACAGTTGAATGTTCAATTTTCTCACTGTCTTTCGCATTTGATTATGTAATACATCTTGGCAATATATTTCCAAGTATTGTATTTAATTATGTTACATATTTACTTGTGCAAGATAGGGATGGATTTAAACATGAATTCTTCGTTCGAATCGCCCGATCGTTTCCATTACTTAAGTATTTGCGTATTTACAATATCAAACCGTAGGTATCAGCTGATCTTACATTATTATCTGATCATAGCTAATCATATTCAATGATTGAATATCCGCATCTTATATCACTTGATGTGGCCTATAGCAATAAATGTTATCTTGAACAATTTCTGAATGAAACAAAGGCATGTGTACCGTGTCTAACCGAATTGGCAGTGTCTCATTGTGACTTAAAGATTGTGACAAACAACTTTACAAGAGAAGAAACACAACGGAATTGTGCTAAAGTGAAACAATTAATTTCTGTTCAGCCATTGGATAATTCGCAAGATTTCAATCATTATTTTCCTTTGTTATAACTGTATTTCTTGTTTTGTTTGATTGATTCAATAAAATGAAAAAAAATGATAACGGTTGCGATTAGGCTAATGAAATTTCTAAAAAAGCTACAAGAAAATATCGATTTTCGATTATTGTTTCTTATTTTGTGTATGAAAAAGCATTACATTTCATTCTTATATTTATACATCTGAAAATATCGATAAAATTTTCAAAGATTTTGAGTTTATGTTTATAGAAAAAAAACCGTTCTGCTGAAACACAGAAGCACTAACCGTAAGAAGTATGATCAGTTCATAAAGGATTGATGCGTGATTGTCTGAAAAGTTCTGACAACTCATTTACAGTCGATGAAAATTTGAAATTTCCCGTTTCATTTTTTTGTCTTCTATTGTATTCCGAGCATTTTGATCTTCGTGTTTTTATATTACAATCACTTGCACAGAGGTGTTTACAAACTACCGTCACATCTTTAGGGATAAGAGTCATTTCCAAACACTCGGTCACATGTTCTGATGCTTCGAAGACGTGAGACGCAAGGTAAGTCGCTCAACTTTTTGTGTTAGTCGATTCACGAATGAAGGAAAAAACTGAAATCAATATTTCTGTCTTTGGGCAACACTAAAATTGTGTGGCGTAAGTAAAGTATATATAGCATGACGCACCTCCACTTTAAGGGTATGGGCAAGGGCACGTGACGTATAGGCGTTGATGCCGGGCAATGCGACTAAGAAAAACAATGAATAAACCGAAATTGACACCCATATTCTGACTTTGAATCCATAAATAGCCTTGCTCGAAAACCAAATAGCTTCCAAAAATCTCTTCTTTTAATTTGAAATGGAAAAAGAAATTCTTGCTCAAAGATGCGATCATTAAGCTGTTCAAGTGTCCTAATGCAAATTTTCTTAATCTGGCAACAGACCGACGATTTTACGTTGCTGTCTGATTTTTGTGGTTCAAAAAAGTCAAGATCTCTTTTAAAAATTGAATAGCTTTCATTGGACCTTATATCAAAGCGGTTTGCATTTTTCTCTCTTTCTTGCGAGTAATGTATACTTTAGGTATCATTACGTACCTTTATTGTTTTATGCTGTGAGCTATGTGCACTTGAAAGTCACTTTATCAGTGTCTCAAAGCGACCAGGAGAAAATCGTGACCAAGATCTTGTACATTTCTGCTTAATATAAAATTCCAACTACATGGAATGGTTAAATATTTTAAACGTACATATTAATTTTTTATTGAAATTGCTTAGTGTTTTGCATAGAAAATTCCTCAGAATGTTCTTCAATTCTATTCATACTTTCATATCATCTTTCTAACACTGTTGAAAGTGAAAGATATATGACCATGATCTTCTCTTTAATTTTTCTAGTTGTTACTCTCAATATTCCAGCCAATGCAAAATGGACACAGAATGGAATGATTGTTGCTGGTGGTCACAGATCAGATAGTGTATTCAATTAACTCGACCGTCCTCTTGATCTTTTTGTTGATGATGATCAAACAGGAGTTGTCGCTGATACGTACAATCATCGCATTATCCAGTGGAAGATTGATGATACGAACGGACAAGTTATTGCTGGTGGCAATGGTCAAGGAAATCGATTAAATCAATTGGACCAGCCAACTGACGTGTTACTCGATAAATACACAGATAGTCTCATTATTTGTGATCCGGGTAATCGACGTGTCGTACAGTGGCCTCGCCGTACTGGCACAACACAAGGTAAAATTCTCATCGACAATATCGCATGTTGGGGATTGACTATGTATGATCATAAATATTTTTACATGTCTGATACTGAAAACAATGCAGTAATACGATATCAAATAGGAAATAAGAATAGAACGATTCGGACTAGTGAGCGGGGTGCTAGTCTCAATCAACTTAACTTTCCGACGTATCCTTTTGTCAATCAAGAACAGACTGTTTACGTTTCAGACAACGGAAATCATCCTGTAAATAAATGGACAATATATGCAAAAGAAGGCATTATTGTTGCTGGAATTTAAGGCCGAGGAAATACAGTGACTCAATTCAATCATCCAAACGGAATTTTCGTCGACATGTTGGGCACACTCTATATAGCAGATATGTGGAATCATCGTGTGATCCGTTGGCCTAAATGGAAGACACGGGAAAATGTAGTTGTGGGTGGGAAGGGTCAAAGCGCAGGAGCAACTCAATTCAACTACCTTGGAGGTTTGTCATTTGATCGGCATGGTAATCTATATGTTGTCTATCCTAATAATCGTCGTATTCAACGATTTTCACTTGAATAGGCTGGTAATTTGTTTTTCTTTTCATTCACAAATAAATTGAATCGATTAACTTTAATATACACAAAAGTGGGCGAGGTATGTTCAGATTTCCGACAAAGGAAATTTCAGATATTATTGAATTTCTTTTAATAACAGAGTTTCGGAGATCTCAGATCCAAAAATTCCTTTTTTGGAAATCTGAACACTGCTGACTGCAAGAAGAGAGTATATGAATGCCATGGAAAAAAGAAAAAAATCGTTCATATCGTTGCTATGATTGAATTAAAATGGTACTATTTTAACCGAATTGAATTCTAATTATCAGCTTTTATTGTTTTCTTTAATTTAAGGATGTTTTTTATCCGTATGATTTTCAAGTGAACGCTTGTGATAAAAAAATTAGTCGATTCCAATCTAACTTATCATGAAATAGAATGCCGATACCCTGATGATTTCTGAAGCTGATCAAATTTTATTATTTTTTCTAATTTCAAAGTTAATTTTGGTTTTAGTATGAAACGGAATCTAAACAACTCATTTTTATGATACTTCTGAATGCACTTTTAAGAGTGTCTTCTTCAAATCTTCCATCTACACCGACGTGTTCTACAAAAATAAGTATATTGATCTATCGAACTCTAGAATGTATAATCAAGGGTACAAAATAAAAAGTATTTGAATAGTCATAAACTCACCGAACAATACTGTTCACTAATCTAGAAAGAATGTTAAAAATAGAACAAAATGATCGAAGACTGCAAGTCTTGCTCACTTGTTTTGTGTTCATAATTACATTGGTTGATCATGTTGGAGATTAGAAATTTATTTCATGACATCTAAATTCTTTTAAATAAAATAGATTCCTTCCAAGTCAATATTTTCTATTTCTGAAATGTTAAAATCATGCAAAATGATTGTTCTAGTATCTAGAATTGTTTTTTAAATGATCGGCATATCCGATTTCAACTCTAGTTTGGATATGACTATATATTATCTTGCAGTATTTAGTATTGCTATCAGAAATTGAGCTAAATGCTTATTTTTGTGTAACAAGAGAAATGTAGAAATCGATACCAAACTATTTTAAACTCTTCTATGTTTGTATTCATTTCGACTGATGATTCTCATAGTAATTATTTGTTTTATTCATCAAACGATGGAAAAATATACGCGCTCCTTTTAAATAATCTTCCAAAGATTTTCTATGTGGAAAAATTTGTTTTTGTTTTGCATGCTTTTTGTCATACGGCATATTTTACAAGAAAAAAAACTATACTATCGAATGACATAACACTGTTATTATTATACTTGATTTAACTGATAAATAATAATATTGATTATTTTTCGAAGTTCTAACTTGATTAGCTGTTGCTTTTTATGTTGATTATATGACAATGATTACCTGTCATTATTGACATCTATAGTGTCAATTTTTATCGACGAAAATGTAAAAGAAACTACACTACTTCGAGGGAGTCTCTGAAGAAAGTTTGGCCTCAGTTGACAGGAAAATATATCCAATGATCATCGATAGCGAAGAAACTACCAGTATTTACACTTAAAACTCAGACTCGCTCTATTTTACTTTTGAAAGCATCATTTGAGTTTCATAAAAGAAGGTTCTAGTATTTTTATTTTTTTTAGGTTTTTTCCAATGAGTCATGAATGAATTGCCGCTGATTGTGATGTCACGTAATATATATGCACCTTGTCTCATAGAAAAGTGTGAATAAGAAAATAGTTCAGCGAAACGTTTCCAGTTTCCTATCGTGTGTAGTTCTGGTTGCAAGCGGTACAATAAGAATAACAAATAAGAACATTTATTTATTTCTGTTCATGCATGCTTTCGTTTTTATTGCAAGGATGAATCATTTTGATGCATTAGCGCACAATGGAAGTTTCCAACACGGAAATTAAAATGAAATAAAGAACGAAACAACTGATTTTCTGCAAAGTTCCCACAGTTGTGTAAGAGCTCAAAATGAATATGACTCTTTCTTTCTCTGCCACCTATACGAATTTTTATGTAGCCATATTTCTTTTAACGAATATAGGTATGATCAAACGGGCGAATAGATAAATAGCATTGATATAGTCTCTATGATTGCATGATTTAGACACATTATTACGAAAGTTTACGATTAGAAAAAAATATTATTCTCTTATCTTACTCGACTTCTGTCAAATAGCTTGCAATTTTCTTTGTTTCCTACAAATTTCACTCGATCTGATTGTTTGAGAAATAGATCTAATATCTCTTCTATTGGGTTTTTTTTCTTTTTCGTTCGTTTCTTAAGATTATACGGCGTCTTAATAAAAAAAATAAACTTACCCAGGTTACTCATTGCACCATTTTCTCCCCTATATAAACTCGTACATCAAGCATTTACGTTCACTTTCAGATTTTCAACACACACATATACAGTTTTATTTTAAATAATAAACACTATTATGACTGGATCAGTACCTCAATTGACACGTCAACATAGTTCAGCTGTAGATCATTCAAAGATGAATAAATCATATCCTCCGCAATTTCGTCGATGTTTATCTACAAATGATCAAGATTCAATTAAATTAATATTTAATGATGATCAATTAAAAGAAAACTTATATTCGCTTTTGCAGAAATCTTCAATAGATGATGATGATGATTCAGGTACCGAAGAAATTGAACAACAACATCAATTAGAACATATTTTTCTCGAGCCATGCAATGATAATGAAAATCAATTATCAATAAAATCATTCGGTCCAAATCCTGATGAAGGTTTTTCAGAATGTGAAACTCAAGATGAAATAAAAGTTTCATTTATTAAAAATGATCGTAAGTTAAGCAATTTTTTTTGTTTAGTCACAATGACTCAACAAAAAATTTGTAATATCGTTATACTAAATATCACTTTTTCTATTTGTTGTTTTAGTTAAACTTGCTCAAAGCATAGCAGATAGTACAAAACAATCTTTTTGTCCTGATACTTGTGTAGCTTTTCATGGGGAATTCGCTAGACGTATTTCAATTCCATTATCATTATGCCACAGAGTTCGTTAGTTTCTTTTTGCTCAAGAAGAACTTGTTAATAGTTCTTATATAAATTTAATATTTGATTGTGTCAAACTTGGCAATGCTAAAGCACAATTTCAATGTCCAAATATTCGTTGCAGACATGCATGGACATCAATGCGAAGTCGAATTTCATTTTCAGTTAGTTCACTGAAAATTGGTTTTATTGCACTTGAAATTTTTGGTTAAAATTGTCAACATTGTAATACACATACTCAAGCTTTTTGGTACATTGGTAATCATTTTATTCTTATTAAATTATGTTGTAAATTTTCATATTTGCATATGTTTAGATGAAGTTTGTAGGGTTATGAAAAATTTAGCTTTATTTATTTTTGAACGATATTTTCCAGATATGATTAATACTATCGAATTAGAAAATAATATTACACCGTCTCGTGCATCGCGTCATGATCCGACTCAAAGAAAAGGAAGAATGTTGGCACCACATATTAAAAAACACTATGAAGCATGTCGACGTGGTTTATGCTTCGTTTAAAAAAATGATCATACTATTTTTTGCTCTATAGGCAAATTTTTTGAGTTTTTTATGATTTAGTTCTTTTCGTGTGACAAACTTGTGCAAGTCTAATAATAAAAAAAATTATATTTTCTTATTTGCCTGTGTACACACAGTAAATACAAAAGTTTGTTTTCAACAAAAATACAAGTAAAATAGAAACATATACTTAATGTTAAAACTCTTGTTTTTTTTTGTATCTACGCAAACAAACAAGAGTGGGTGTGGGTGATGTTGCCTTTTCTTCGCGCACATTCTCGTCCACATCCATCCTGTTTCTAAATTATCTAACTTATTTGTGATCTTATTATTAAATCACTAAATAATTATGCACATTAAAAACCGTCTGAAGAATTCTTTAATGAAGGACGAAAATGACTATGGTATATACTTTGACACACGCACTTCATCAATAGTTCCCATAGTACATTTTGAGATTAAGATAGCTTTGAAACAAAAGAACGGAGAAATCTCTTGTCGTCTGTTTGCGAAAGTTAATATAGTTCCGCATCGTTTATACCTGCTACATTATCGTATCCAGCTGCAACTAGCACTTTTCCGTTCGTCAACAGTGATGATGTGTGATCCCATCGTCTCACATTCAAACCGCCAGTGATCGTCCAGATCCCTGTTGGTGGATCAAACAATTCTGCACTAGCCATAACACTACTGCCATTAGATCCACCGGAACCTAGCACTTGTCCATTTGTTAGTATCGATGCTGTGTGACCCCATCGTCCAACATTCAAACTGTTAGTAAGTGCCCAGGTTCCTGATGATGAATCATACAACTCTGCACTGTTCAAAGTGTCACTAAAGTCAGATCCTCCAGCAATTAATACTTTCCCATTCGCCAATAACGTTGATGTGTGTGACGATCGTCCGGCATTGATCCTACCTGTTAATGTCCAGGCTTGTGTTGATAAATATTTATTTTAAAAAGGAACTTGCTAAGCGAAGAGAAAATTGTTCCCAGTGGGATCGAAGCCATTTATCTGATGCTAAAGGTTTTTGGTTTCATAACAGTAAGCGTTTCAGTTTTTTCCACAAGTGTCCACATTTTCTTCTACTTTCGAAAGAAAATTAGTCCCCAAAACTTTATCTTTTGTAGACGGCTTCATGAAGTGACTATGACAGACTCACATGGTACATGGCAGTTTACAGTTTAAAAAAAAATGAAACTAACTTATTTTAGTAGGGCTACTACTGATGCTTTTAGTTCAGTATTAGGTGTTTGACTTAACTATTCTCTTGTAAACATGTCTGAAGACTTTTTCGTGCAGATACTCGTTCAAAACCAGGAACATTTTTTTTGAAAGTCTATTAGTGTTTGCGAGCAACTTAACACAGGATAAATATATATGGTACAGAGATCGTAAACCTATCTTATAGTTGAAGAACCTGGATCTCGGGTTATTTTGTGGTTATTGTTATCTCTTATTAGTATAATTTCGAGAGAGTTTATTTGATTGTTATTTGTAAATTCTAATGTGAGTTTTAGATTATGTCAAATACTGTTTAGATAATTAACATATTTATTTTATTCTGTATTATCCATTGATGTTTTTGATTGATTATTTCATTGATCACAACATCAACAGTTCTTGTTCCTGGTATGCTAGTATACATATCTTGTATATCAAGATTGGCTAGTTTTTCATCTTTATTCATTGTTATTTGTGATCTTTTGTTAACAAATTGTGATGTATTATTAATAGAATTTTCAGTTCTTTTTCTTAACTCTTGTATTAATGTTAGAATGAGTTGGCATACTCTGAAAATACAATTTCTAGATACGAAACCCATTTTAAGTTTCGCAGCTCCAAATTTTTTTTTTAGTGTGGCGGGGACATTATGGTATTTTTTTTACATGTTATTAATCTCATCGGATAGTTTGCTTTATGATATTTTATTTGGTTTGCATAATTTTTCTGTTATATCAGATATATTTTTCTTCTATATTTGAGATATTATCATTTTTATCAAAAATGGCAACTTTTCCACATTTATTGGCTGGTACGATTATGATCTTTTAAATATTTTGCCATATATGCTTTCCATTTATGTTAGGCTGTCATTTTTGATTTTTTTATACGTCTGAGTGTTATAAATAATGCCTTTTCAGTTAATAGTGTTAGATATGAATGTTAAACTTTTTTCCAATATTTTTACTTGCTCATTTAAAATTATAGATGATATGTTCACGACATTATATTGATTCATAGTTCATTTATTATTATTATTGAAGTTGTTCTTTATCTCATTTATTATATTTTTCTTGTTGATATTTCTTTTTTGTCTATTCATTCGAGATCTAGTTTGGGATTTCTGTGCGATTGAATGCCTTTGATGTATTATATAATCTTAGTTGTTTATATATCCAACTTAATGTGTTATTTCTTAATCCAATTATACTACTGCATAATATTATTTTGTTTTCATAATAGAATCTTTCGGTATTATCTTTCGACTCCTACATATAGTCTTAAAAAATTAAAGTGCTTTTCAATTATTGTTTTTATATTTATTAATTTCTCTAACTGTTGGACTAGTGTCTCTCACTAGAGGATTTTGTAATTTATGAGATTGAGAAAAGTCTTAGTAAATCTGAATTAAAATTATTTCTCTTCCTCTTTATAATTTATATTAATTGTAACAAGAAAGAGAAACAATTCGATGTTACATTTATTAATACCTTCCGTGTGTCACAAATAAAAACAAATTTCACGATAAATAATTGGGCTCACGAAGGCGCATGGCTAAAATTTTTCAATGTGAAGACCATATTTCAGTAGTTTCAGGAGAAATTTTGGGTATATATGTTCTATCTAGTTGGATAACTGCAACATCGGGCTTTGCTATGGAAAGTCAAGTAAAAAAGTACAGGAAAAGCAGTGAAATATCGTCTTCACAAGTGAATCCTACTCTTTAACTTATAAAGTTGATATGTAACAATATATTAACCCGATTGGTGGTGAACAACTGAAATAGTTTGAATATGCTTAGGACTTTGACCAAGAACTTTACTTTCCGAAACAAAATTCCCCTTTACATTTACTCTCAATACAAGATAAAACTCCCTACTGTTTTGATACCTAACATCACTGCTGCTGGCGTTGTTGAATTGACGACAGTTGAAGCTAAAGAGGAACCGAAGTCTTTTGGTTATAGTACATATATTCCTGTACAAATGAACTTACTTGTATCATTAACCGAAGAGCACAAACTGGTCCAAGACAATGACAAACATACATTTTGTGGCGGGCAGCATGAATTCACGACACATACGTACGAGTTCGATGCGCATCCGCCGGTTACGTTATCGCACTGCTCAAGCAGGGAACATAGACCTCCTGGAGCACAGTAGCTCATATTAGTTACTGTGTGATAGTCATAGCATGGTGTCAACGATGTACGGCAAGTGCTGCTGCTGTTGTTGTTATTTAACCCTTTACAGCCGGATGTTATCATTTGGCAACATTGAGCCGATATTTTAAGAAAGATCTAGCTATACTGTGGACAGATAGTGAATCAGTAGTTCAATAATTACTACAAGATATTTTAGAACACACTCATAGCCCCTAAAATAGAACAAAAACGTTCAGCTGACAAATTACCGGAGTCCTCCTGAATACTCCCAAAGAACAACTGAATCATAATAGATGTTCTTGTGGTACCTTCAATCGTTCAATCCCACAGGTCACTATTTATAAATTTTCCCTCCTTGATCTATTGTGTATTGTATCACTCAAAGAGATGATTCAATAAGTACTGACAATAAGAGGTATGGATGTTGCCAAATGGCAACAGTCGGCCGTGAGGGGTCAAAATTTTTGAAAAATCTTTTTTCATTTTCGACTATCGTTATTCGCTATTTTGCGTCTTTTCATTTATTCATACAAGAACAAAGCATACAACACATATCCGGTGCATTTGCATAGCTTTTCCTAGCTTTAAATGAAATTTTCTATGAAAAAAAGGTAGCATGATAGTATTGTAGCTCTCAATAGCTGGTATGGAAATGGATACTTAATTTACGTATCGGCATGGATGTAGAGAAATAAAAGATCTACAGGAATATCTATCCTGATGCCAACTAACGCAAAAACTCATGCATCTACTTTCTCCTTAAGTTAAACGCATGGCAATTTTTTCTTACAAAATTTGAATTGAATCGCGGAGAAATTGTGCGGGCGTATCATAAATATATTTTACACTTTTTTCTTGAATAATTAAATGAAAGGAACGCAAAATAGTGAATTTCGAGGATTGAAAACGACAAATGAATTTTTCAAAGTTTTGACCCTTTACGGCCGACTGTTGCCAAATGACAACATACAGCTATTCAACATAGAAGCACTGTTCAATTTTAAGAAATAGTTCTTTGCTATCTCTATGGTAGGATAAAAAAATATATGCAGAAGACAAGTTTTAACTATGTCGCTTTTGGGAGCCGACTGGAAAGGGTTAAAAGGCACTGCTGAATTTGTTTTCATCATCAGGCTTTTTCCAGATATGTTATTCTCGTATATTGAGCATGCTAAATCGACCAGTGACGATATTCATCGATAGTAGAAATCGATTGAATGTATGACTTTTGATCACCGACCCTCTCAACCATGCACCATCTTCGTCACGAACAACGATGCTATCGAGTTTCTAATAGTTCTACAAGGATTTTTGGCTCTTCATAAATTTCTGAGATATGCTTCCAGTTAGTTGACATACTCTTATATGCCAATTGATTGCATTTGATCATCGAATAAAATCATAGTTTCACTTCTTAATATATTATTTTCAATCTCTATTGCTTACCTTGATTATGATTAACAAATATATAGGATACACTAGTATCTTCAAGCATAATATGCTGAAGAAATATTCTTCTGGAGTTTATGGATCTAGTTGTAAAAATCGTTAGCCACACTCTTGAAAGTGAAAAGATGATTTGGTTTATCACGTAGAATGACAAGGCAAGAAGTGAAACATTATATACTGGATTTTATTGGTAAGCTGAATAGCCAACATAAACCAGTTAATTATAAAATAATACAGTTAAATATTAAAGCTTCATTAGATCAAAGCCTTTCATTAGGTGCCATCCAAATATATGGTCAAAAAAAGAATTTGATATTAAATAGTTAGGTTGAGAATTGTTTTTAAAACGAATCAGTAGTGGCGGATTGATATTTCTCGATAAAACAGTTATCTATGCTATTATGTCTCCTCGTCGAAAGCTTGTAAGTCCCGGATTTGAGAGGAGTCAGAAAAGAGGTTGTTGACAATTGCTGTCTGCTAATTTTACGAATCAAAGAGGAAACGTGCAAATTAGTTTGATAAAATAATTTAGTCAAAGAAAATTGAAGGGCGATTTAATTGCTCTCGAAACAAAAAAAAAGAGTAGATCATCTTACAAGTTTGGAGGTTCTAAGTATCGCTTCATTAACAGAAGTCTCTTTTTCTTTAAAGAAACTCTATTTTTGGTTTTATTTTTTAATTAAACATAATCCTACTGATATTGTCACTATTTCCTGTTGATCTTCCTTCCTTATCATCTCATCTTTCTATGCTTCTTTTCTGGAATCATTTCACTATTTGGCTTTTGTCTCTCCTTTGTAAGTATGTGTTGAATGCGAAGCAATGACAAACTAGAGTTGTGAATTTCAGTAGTGAGGATGACTTATACTAGTCTTTAAAAGTTTGTCCTTACTACAATTTGTTGGATCGTTCCAAAACACCAAAGGGAGGAAACTCATTCCAATAATGTCTTGAATAGCCGAGCGACGGCTCTATTTAGAATAAGAATGATCGTGAATTGAAAGCACCGCCTTCAATGATAACACGCGATGAAAAATACCTACCCTCTTTCAAGTGTATGACGTTCTCGTGTCGAATTAGAACAAGCATTCCAAACTATAGAGTGCGAGTACCATAAATTTCCAATGTTGTTGTGTTGTGACTAATAACCGTTTTTCGCTCGCACTCAATTTTCTCTCTAAACGAAATTCATCAAGATTGAATCTTGTAATAGAATATATTTTCCGTTAGTAATAAATAAAATTGGTTAATGAATTATATGAAGTGTTAGTATGCAATAATATTTCAAAACTTTTTCTACTAAATTCTAGCTCGTTCAGTTTTGTAGCTAATGATTCATATTCAGACGTTCTCTTTATCTCCGGTAGAGATAATATTACATTAGATGAAAAATTGATGTTTTATGCCAGTATGAGCTGTAAGTTTATCTCGTAATAAAATATAATAATTATGTTATTCAAAGCCTTCATGCTAAATAGAAGCATTGACGTGAAAGTCCTAAACTTTTGCGTTTCACTTTACAATTCACGATGATTCTGCGAGAAAGAATATAATTACTTTTACTGTTCGCTCGCTATTTTTGTGTTCTTTTTTTCTGCTCGTTCACGTATGCGTTCGATATAATTGACTGATAATATATGTATGAGTTATTCTATCTAAAGTCTCAAGTAACAAATGCAAAACATTCTAATGAGAGTATGCGTGGGTTTATAAGTCAGGATCTTTCATCGAAACTTTATTTGAATTAGAAAAAATAAGACTAGCGAACACCACTATTGCTGTTTAGTTACTTCTATTTTCTTATTATTGATGAATCGATTTATTTTATCATACTTAGTTAATAGTAAGTTGGCTATTTACTAAATAGCATTCCCATCGAGCGCTGACTGAGTAACAGAAAAGATGATCACTGAGCAAGTATCAATTTGAGCATAGTATGTGAGAACTTACTGAACATTTTTATTTATAATTATATATGATATCTTCTGTTCTTGAATAACTCTCTGACACTTTCTGCTTTTCTTCTTCGTAGTACTAATAAAGATTTGAGAAATGTTTCTTTGAGCATTGTCACCTATTGTCGTGCAATTTTGTTATGCGACTGATACTGGCTTAATTATTTATTATATAGAACTATGATCGAACGCCGTTTCATTGAAAGCAATGATCACTTATAATACACATGCTGCCCCTTTTGTTTACTGTTTCCAGCGAAAATAAATAATCTTGATGGATAAATTAGGTCAAGGAGAAAATCTATAGGAAATCACAGCCGCAACTTAGACGATATTCGATGCATATTCTAGATTATTCTGATCTGTCACGCTATTCTTCGATTATTTTGAAAATTCCAGATATGGATAACAACCAAAGTTTGAATAATACAAACATTTCATTAGCTATCACCGAAATATCTCTATCACTTAATGCTCGCTTTTGGATTCTTCTTCTATTTGATATTCCATCCGTAGCTTGCGCGTGTTTTGTTCTTTTCTGTATCCTTGTTGATCGAAAATTACGCTCTAGCATAAAGAATCATGCTCTCGTTATTATATTGCTTCTTGGTATCGGTTCTCAATTAATCGATGTTCCTTTTTATCTCAATTTTGTCGTTCATTCGAGTGTTATTCCAGCAAAGCCATCGACTTGTCTCTTGTGGTGGTTTGTGAATATTGGTATGTACGATGGAGGAGTCATATTTATGGCCTGGACTGCTTTTGAACGGCACATTATTGTATTTCATGAACATTGGATTTCAACAAGAAAGCGACGCATCATAATACACTATTTTCCAATGCTTTTTTTAATCCTATATATTTTTATTTATTATATTTATGCCATTTATTATTTTCCTTGTGAAAATACTTACGATTACACATTGCCAGTATGCAGTGGGCCTCCATGCTATGAGTATGATCCGATCATGAGCATGTCGGACTGGATTGTCAATATTGCATTACCAACATTTCTAGAAGCATTGCTAAGTTTGGCTTTTATGTTTCGAGTCCTATGGCAAAAACATCGTTCTCATTTGCCAATCCACTGGCGCAAGCACCGTAAAATGACAATTCAGCTCATGTCACTCTCTTCTCTTAATGTGGCCTTCAACATTCCACTTAGTATTATTAACATAGCTTACTTTTGTGGTTTATCATATGATATTGGAGCTGAAGCGACTCAGTATTTCACATTTCTTTGTTATTTTGTTATTTTTCTCTTTCCTTTCATTTGCCTTGCATCGATAAGTGGTGTTAAGAAAAAATTCTACGAACGAATACTTCGTCGACGACGACTACTAATTGAACGATTTACGGTCACGGTCAAACCTGAAAATTTCAGTTTACAGACAACCATGCGGCGCTGAATGGAGCGCTTTGGGGCTATCGATTTTGTCCTTTTAAAAATCAAACAATGCTATAACTAGTGGGAAGAATCAATTCTTAAAAAAACTCTGATGTGTTTCTTTTGTGTTGTATTGTACTCAAAGAATAACATAAAATATTGATGGTCTTACGTGTAATCAAGTTTCTTTAAATAACATTTTTTGGAGAAGAAAGTCAAATGTACAATATCGAGAAATAGATTATGAATTCAGGTTTCTTATCACGAAAACTTTTGTTCAAATTTCACAGTAAATTGCTATTTTTTCAAAATTGATTTTTCTTGCGGAAGGAATCAAATTAAGAAAATGCTCCTTTATCATGTAACTGGAAGGCTTCCTCATAGAGACGTTATCCGTTTTTTTTGCTAGCATAAGAGTCACTTTTCTTTTCTGATAAACATCAATTGTTACTAGTTTGAGTGTGATTTCAAATGTTCATATACGAATTTTAATAGGAATAATAATGAAGTTTTTTTCTTCTCCTTCATGTCATGTTTTTTACACTTTTCATTCATCTCCTATCAAGAGGAATGAAAAAATATCGGCCAGGTTTGATAATAAGTGATAAAACGTGCGCAATAACGAAGGAAATATTTACAGAGACACATCATAAGCCGGTAAGAATGAGAAATAAACGTAAAAAATATTTTTAAATTTAACTCGAAGTCATATTCTGCATGTAGCTATATAAGGTAGCTACTACCTAACATCGACAAAAAAATATAGAGAAGAAAATGACCCAGTGAAAAATATTCTCTAATTTCAATCAAATATTTCTCACTGGAGAGCACTTCATTATTAGTGTGGGTGTCTGTGACTGTTGATGTGGATTGATCTAACCTTCAATCCCCCACACTCACCACAACCCAGGATAAAAACAATTCACGGATAATATATCAGTTGTAGTATTCTATTGTTAAACCGATCATTTTACAGTTTCAATGTCTGCCAGCTAGCCGAATACTTTGGAATTTCGCCACAGATTACAGTGTCACATTTTCAAAGATCTTGACTATGTATTTGGAGATCGAATGGTCAATCCCATGTGTTCAAGGAAATTATTTGTGTCATATTTCTGGCCAGTTATACTTTATTCAAAATATTTATGTTATATTCCTTTAAACATTAGGTAACGAAAGAGTAGCGAAAAAATTCTACGAACGAATACTTCGTCGACGACGACTACTAATTGAACGATTTACGGTCACGGTCAAACCTGAAAATTTCAGTTTACAGACAACCATGCGGNCACCTCCACCACCTGCGCCACCTCCACTACCAGCACAGCCACCACCTCCGAAACAACTACTACTAGCACCTAAATTGACTCCGCTAGCACATGCTGAAGCTCCGCCGTGATGATGTCCGTGATGAACAATTGGCACGTGTGCGTGTGTGATCGGATATCCTGAAAAACCACCACTATAGTTACTAGCGTGTGGAGATGATGATATAGGCTGCGCATAGCCATAACCATAAGGTTGTCCGTAGCCGTAACGAAACACTGGTGCCGGTCGTCGATAGTGACGGCGAGGCCGTCTATGATGATGATTATGATGAGAATTCATCCACGAAAACGACATCGTGTTTACTTCGTTTTGTTTGTATTGAAAATGGAGGTAAGGTACCGTATTTATTTAGTTAGCTGACTCATATAATTAGTCAACAAGGAGCCAATATTGCGCATATGGTTACACTTGAATGACCAAAAAAAAGCAGAAAAATACGTTTATTGACGATACTATGATCATTTGACGCATAAGATAAGTAGAGAAAAAAAACTGCGTGAGTAGATTATAGTCAGGCGCTTCACGATACTTCCTTAAATGATGAAATAAATCATAATCATGAATATTATATAAAACAAAATATTAGAAATATTTTCAACACACTTGCATTTCTGCTTTTTCATATGATATATATAACATTTCGACACAGTCATTTCATCTAGTATAATAATAGATCATAAATAATATTCAAGATAGTACAACTCTTCAATTATCTACGTTCTATTCGTGCTGCATTTCTTCTCTCAAACATTAGATATTATTTTCTGCCCTTTGTACTTCAGGATAGCTTACTGATAAAATATGATGACTAATATCTAACGAGGGTGTGAGTGTGGGTGTTAGTATCAATATTAAAAAATATCCACATGGACATCCCACGCCCACATCCTCTGATAATATATATGAAAGTTCCATGTAAACGGCGAAAAGTCTTAAAATAAGCTAACCTCTAATACATGGTTTTTTGACATCAAGCAAGCAAACAAAGAAAAAAAACACATTTTAGTTTTTTTCATATGATCTTCTCTACGGTCAAGGGAATTCTGCTTCTTCTGCCAAATAGGTGATGATTATAGTTTATTAATCATACCAAGAATAGGTCGAGTGTGGGTGTGGGTTTGTTTGAAGTTATGAAGGAATACCCACACCCACACACCCACACCCACACCCTCAAGATAGTGCCTTGTCCAGCGGGACTTGTTTGGAATAGTGATGGACAAATATGTGACTGGAAACCCACTGAACGTACGTTGTTAAAATAAAAAGAAAGGAGCCATTTTTTGTTGTCATTGTAATTCTTTTTCTCTATTCAGCTATTGTCGATTGTGTCAGCAGTCAGAAGATAAATTGTCGTGCAAAAACCAGATGGGCAACAAACGGAAATGTTATTGTAGGTGTTAACAATGAATCAGGTCGAGATTCTCAACATTTGAATGCACCCAGCGGAATTTTCATTGATACTCGACATGAAAACAATGTATATGTTGTTGATGGAAATAACTATCGTGTTCAAAAGTTTTTAGGTAACTCATTGGCAAGCGATGGTATTACTATCGCCGGTGGCAATGGATACGGGTCTGAACCCAATCAACTTAAGACACCTGTTGATGTATATGTTGATGCGAATGAAAATGTTTACGTTGGTGATAGTAGTAATCACCGAATTCAAATGTGGCCGAAAGGTGCTACTAGTGGTATCACCGTTGTCGATACAGACGGTACAGGTGAATACGAAAACCGTGTTGGTAATTTTCACAGTATGTTCTTCCATGAAAAGACAAATACATTCTACTTGCCGGATGTTTTCAAAAAACGAGTCGTAAAATTCGTAAACGGCAGTAATATTGGCACTGTTGTAGTAGGGCAAGACGGTGATGAATTCCCTTCCAAGATCCTATACGGACCAACTGGCGTTTTTGTCGATGATTGTGAAACTCTTTATGTTGCCGATGCAGGAGGCAGTCGTATACAAAAATTCTTGAAGGGCTCAACCGAAGGCATTACAGTTGCTGGCGACTATCAAGAAGGATCGAATGCTATTCAATTCAAGTAACCGTGAACTATTAAAGTAGATCAATACAATAACATGTATATTGTCGATACGTTTAACGGTCGAGTTCAAAAATGGGGACCCAATGAAAAGGCGGGTGTAACAATTATTGATGGAAACGGTTTTGGCAATCAACTAAATCAATTATGGTTTTCATATTTTATGGCACTCGATAGTGAGGGAAATATTTTCGTCACTGATTATGGAAACCATCGCGTTCAAAAATTCGACATACAACCAGAAACGAATAGTTGCTGATGGAATAAAATTTTGAAATAAAATTATACATTTGGCTATGATTAATCTGTCAGATGATCATTTTTTAAAGAAACAGAAAAGATTGACACATTTAGCGATCCATAGCATATATACTAGAAGAATGTCTTTAACGATTGAATGAAAGTGCAATTTTTTGAATAGATTCAGCACGAGTGGCAAAAAAAGATAATCGTTTTCATTGATAGAGTTATGTGCAATACGAAATAGCACTCTCATTAGTTGAGTTAAATTGTACCATAAAAAAGAAAATACTCGTGAAGATTAAAATAATAGAGTAGCTCAATAAATAGATTTAAAATAATTAGAGCATGAGAAAAGTACAAATATTTGGAATAAAGAAAAACCTCCAGATCAAAGCCAATACATATATTCTATTGGAAAAATACAATGGGTTTTCTCAAGTGTTTTGTTGTTGTTGTTATTATATGCCATGTCATACTTATACAAAAAAAAACATTATGACACAAGCCTTCAATTTATATACGCACATATATATATATACTTGTACAAGAGCAGTATTGATTAGATATTTTCACCTGATCAGTTGGCATGTTACCAAAAATATTTTCATAGATATCCCTATTTTTTGTTGTTATTTCTGTAAAATGCGTATGAAATTTGTCTGAGACTGGATCAGTTACAGCAATATCATCTGGATTTTGGAATTCAATGGCTAATAACATTCTCAAAAACAAAAAATATCCTATGACAATGATTATAATTTAAAATGTTGAAACATGCTTAAAAATCATTTTGCGCCAACTTGAACAAAACTTTCTTACGCAAACATCTTGGTCAGTAAACCTAGCATTTTCTCCTTCAAGATCATTTATATTTGTACTATCACAGATTGCCATATGATCATCTACAATTATTTATTGAGAATGCACATGAATTTTTTCAGTTGCCTAAGCATGCCAAAGAATACCTTAGTTGTACTGCAAGTAAAATACAAGTCACGGAATGTAAGCGTCGGTAACCCTCTACTAAAAGGATATGATGATCACGTTAGATGTATGATAAACAGTTGCATCAAATGCTAGGCTTGAACCTAGTTATACCTTTTCAAGTACCTCTGCACAGTGAAAGTAATGTAAGTATATTCAAAGGGTGTGGGTGTGGGTGAACTGAAGACACACCGACACGCTCAAGATTACCTGCCAGTCCTTTCGAATTTATTCACATATGCTTTAGTCGATGAAAAATGAACTGATATATTTTTTTAAGAACTCTTGAATCACCAGCTAACTCAATTATTTATCAAACAAACAACAAAAATTGGATTAATTCAAAATTTATTTTATTTATAAAATAAATTGTACAAAAAAAAACGATATTGTCTTTGATTTATGTCCATTTTAAATAAACATGATCTAATACACGTTTAATCGTAACATGACCAGGTAGATTTTCATATTTTATTTTTTCGTTAACATCTTCAAGTATTTCATCACCCGTTGTTGGAATATGAAGACATAATGCATCAAGTTGATAATTATTATGTTTAATGTTATTGAAAATATTACCCAAAAAAAATTTAAAATCTATTGAATGTTTAAGTCCAACTTGAAAATATTTCATGCGTGGACAAATTGTGAAAATGAAATTAATTTGTTTAACATCATCAATGTGTTCAACATAAACCTTGGCAATTTTACTAGTACTTTTCATTAAACATAACATATTAAGTTGTTCAACAGTTACTTCTGCTCTTTTGTCTGTTGATAATGAATGAATTTTAAGTGTAATGATTTGTGACAATCGATTAAGAATTTGAACTAATATAGAAATTGAGATTTCTTTGTCGAAAATTTCCAAATGATAAATCTTCGTTACTGTTAGAGTTAATTCAATATCTTTGAGTATAGAATCATAAATAAATGTTAATGTCAAATTGGTAGAATAATTAATTATATTATTATTTGTATCATGATACCACTTTTTACTAAAAAAAGAAAAAAATGATTAATTTTATCTATAAATGATATTCATTGATATACTTGTACGGACGAATTTTATATTCAATGTTCATAAATTTAATTTCAACATAAAATATCCATTTTCTTTCAATCCAAAATGATGATGAAAATTCGTTTATTTCTCCACAATTAATTGGATGCTGATTACCGTTATTTATACATTCATAATAATTCAAATAGAATTTTTCTAATTGAGGATAATAACTTAAAATAATTCTTTCCCATCGATGAGCATCAAGAAAATTGATATTTTTTGAAAAACTAATTGATAAAATTTTCAAATTTGGATATGTTTTATTTGAAAATATTTCTAATTGATTAAATGTGTTTATTATTTTTTCCGGATAATGAAATAAGAAAAAATGAGTTTTAATTAAAAATGATGAAGAATGAAGAAGTTTATCAAATTGAGAATTAAGAGTTGAAAATGTTTCAACTATTTCATAACCATTGAAATAGTCAAAAATTTCAAAAAATATTTCATTTGAGAAATCTTCAATACAAGTTATTGATCGATCTATTACAATTAAAATATTAATAAACTTAATCTAGATAAATTATTTACTTTGAAATATTTTATTCGTGTCTTCTAATGAATCATTCAAAACTACTTTTTGTTCAAATTTATTCATATCTATTCTATTCATATTGTAAGGAAATGTTTTTTTTTCTATAATTTCAATGTTTTTAACCGACTTTTATATGTTAACGAAACAAAAGAAGAAAAAACAAACGAAACTGACGAGAATAACGTCAATTTCAGACGGAAAAAAATCAGGCAAAATGATCATTGACTAATTACTTGGTATGATGGAAGAAGGAAGGAAGGAAAAATGTCGCAGAAAATAAGGACAAATATAGAGAAGAAAAATATTGAAACAAAAACAATAGTCAAAAGAGGTTGTTTGGTTCTGACTTTAGAACAAGAAAAGCTCGACTTCACATCCACACACTCACACCCTCATGAACAATAACTAATAAAGATGAACTTTAAGAGGAACCTATAAAAAACCTAATTATATAGACAACAAGCAGACTGATTTATTTTTTTATTATTTTATATTTTATTTCATTTTTGGACAGATGAGACTTATATGATTAAACATATCAGACAACGTTTCTTTAAGTTGATGAGAATAAGTAATAATTTTCAATATAGTTACAAGTTTTAGAATTCAATTTATATTTTTCTTCAATGAAAAATAAAAACGACCGGCTATACTTTGATAGGTGTTCGTTTGAACTTGGTGTGCGAAATATTCTTTATATTATTAAAAGAGCATTTTCAAAGAAACTTGATTCGTTTGCGGCGTAATCTTTAGGAGAACAATTAATCTTTTAAGATAGTTCAAATTGAATATAAAACTTGAAATTAAGAGTACGTTTCGCAGATTTCCGCAACTAAAATAAAGACTTGATTAAGAGTATATTTGTCAATATAGATGTTAGTCTTTTCTTTGCTCACATACTCTTTCAACTAATGTGTATCTTAGTCTAAATGAATTTAATTATATCTCTAATCTCAAGATTATACTTCATCCGATACATTATTATTCACGTTGTTTATTTATACCATTTTTCTCCGAATTATTTATTTGGAGAAAATCTCATCAGGATGTATTTTTCGAACGTTATTGAAATCTTGTGATGATAATTGAAAAATATTAGTTTTATTCTAATTACGAACTTTACTGACGATTTTCATGATAAAACTAAATATGACTGATAATGTTTTTCTTTATTAGCAATATTCATCAATGACTTGAACAATAAGTCTTTGATCAACAGTGCATATTTGTAAGCAATTACAAGAAGAATATCACTTTTATATTACTTCACATCATTCAAATTACAAATTGTACTTCAATATGATAATGCTTTCTGCTTTTTGAGTGTGGATGTGAATGTTGATTGTCATTGTAGTAAAGCTCACATCCAGACAAACACACAAATTTCACTTATATCTATATTTATATTAATAAACCATTATTAGAAGAACTTTCAATTTACCTTAATATTGATAAAAGAGATAAGTTTATACTTAAAAACCATTGAACATCGATCAATAGGAATATTATTTCTCTCTGTTACTTCAACAAATATTTAAATCAAAAGTATACTACTGACCATTCGTCTCGTCATGAATAAAAAACTACTTGTTCATAAGTTCGATTATTTTTCATCAAATAGTTTGCTTGTATTGTAAGTTGACTTTTATCATTTTGATTGTTTTTAACAGAATTTTTGAAAATTGATTTTATAAGTAAAGAGGGGTGAAAGTCATATTTTTACTTTAAAATAAACAATATATTACAATTTTAGAATTAATAAATTGGTTAATATATTTTTAGTCCATTTGAATATTTTCAAAGGTATTTTCTTTTATTAAATATATGTTTAACTAATATATTTGTTCGAATTAATTAATCGATTATATCCAATCTAAATTATTTAAACATTATATATTAATTATTTATCAGTTTTATTCAAATCAATTTTATCCCAAGAAAAAAGTTTAATATGGAACAATTCACTTTTAAGCAACAAAATCAAATTATTTTATTTCGATATTTATATTCGTTTAGTATTTTATTTTCGAACTAGATTTGTATCTATAAACATAATATTACCAGAAATTTATTCGTAATAATGAATAAGAAAAATAAGATTTGCTCTTGATTAAATCATATAAAAAAAATAAAAACTCCCCAACAAATATACTTGCATTTGACTTTTTTCGACGATTCATTCAAATATATACAACTATTAACTCATTTTAATATTATCTTACAATTTAGTTTATTTTTTACTGATAAATAAAATAAGAAAAAATTACTATTCGAATATTTAGATTTCTATTATATTAATGCTTGTGTCATCAATATCAACACATTTATCAGTATATTATAGATTTATTCATCGATAGAGGATCTGGTATTTTTATCATTGATAGAAGAGTATGCATAGTTCATATTTGTAAAGGAAGCGTTGCTAAAAATTGTTTTTAAGTAGTACAACTCACTTCAAGAAATAACTCTAATATTTTCCGGATTATGAAAAAAAAGCAATGTATTAGTTCCGTTAGATAACAATTGACGACATCTTGTTTTTTTCGTTTACTTCTTCACACTCTAATGTCTTTGGTCTCATATTTATACTACAGATACACATCTCGTTATACAATTTACTCTGAATGTTTTAGTTGTTGACAACACTGCAATATTGGTTTTCCATAACTAGGAGAATATCACAGCTATTTAGTTCAAGTTAGTTGTACTACTTTAAAATAACTTTTGACAAAGTTTCTTTTACAAATATACACTATGTAAGTTCATTTGCCTTTTACCTATAATATGAATATATCATTTTTCAACATTTTAGATACTTTTTCTGTAAATACAGCAAAAACAAGAATGGCAACATATGCAATTATATATATATTTGTTTAATTGTAATTATGTATTTATGTTAATTTAAAATATGTCTATTTTTCTTTTCCCTTTTTTTGAATAAAATAAAATATGATAATAAAATAGATTTATATGTCAATTACTTGTCTGCAATTAAAACCTAGATGTCTCTATTCAAAATTCGCACTATCACACACACATCCTCATCGTATTCAAATATATGCTGTTAATAAAACTTCATGCCTATCATCATCCACTTTTTATATATAAATACTAAATGAATCATCAATGACTTACTAATATAAGTCAATATCTAACGTTGATCCATCAAATAATACTAATATTTGCCATGTTTTGTTTTACACTTTTCTGAAATAAATGAAAAATATGTATATATAGATTTGAATCCTAAACGTATCCCGGATACGTGAATCCCATGGAAGTACAAAGGATTCACGAATGAATCTTTGAAATATACTGTTTGAGCATGAATTGTAAGCATTACGATAGAAGTTTGTTGAAAATATTTCTTTCCATTTCTAAAGAATTCCAATATTTATGAGGCTGCTATTCGCAAAAGTCCCATACAGGAACAAATCGTGTTAAAAAGTTGATATGTTGACCATGGTGTACTCTTATTAAGCAATGAATCTGAATAAAAGTCGTGATTTTGATAAGGTCCAATTTCATGGAATATCTGATCGATTGAAATCGTGTTGGTATGCTTTCGATATTCAAAAGCAATCTGTTTGCCATGATAAATAAACTAAAATAATTTTGAAAATAATAGTCCCATCAAGTGAAATAATAATCTCTAGTATAAATCAGTATACAATTCTATCTGCAGTCCCTTAAAACCTCTTTGAAATTCAAAATAATTCTTTTGAAAAAACTCCCAATGATACTGATCGATTTTATCAAGTTAACTTTGTATTAATGGGTAATGATAATCATGATTTGAACATCCTTTAGGNCAGTTTCCAGTGCTTTCCCGTGCTTTCCGGCCAGATACGGTGATTTTTCCGCATCTTTCCGGCCGGTTCCTACAGTATCCGTCCTCCGGAATCATTGACCTGAGTATCATGAGTCGCTAAATAATCAAGAGCATCTTTTAACGATCGTAATGGATTTTTAATGAGTTGTCCGAGTCTGGTATGCTCCTTGTCTTGAAAATAAAACACAGTGTCGACAATAAACACCTTTATGCATTTCCGAATACGTTAACCAAGAGTACTTGGCCAACCAGGAATGTTGGCAAACTGATCGATTTTTTCCACCTTGTTCGACTTTTGTAAAAACATAGTTTGATGGTGGAGTCGATGGTTTAGTTAAGAGCCGATTCAATAATGAAAAATCCTTTGCAGCTAATTGTTTTGAAACATATAATCCAATCTCATCGTCGTTGACAAGTAAATTAGCAGCTGTATTATAATTTTGGTTAACAGGTGATGCAGGAGTAGTGACTGAACCTTCTTTATTCTTATGAATTTCGAGTTCGTCTTCGTCGTTGCCGGAATTATAGAAATTATCTGGTGTTGGTGGTTGTGAGACATTTTCATCTGTATCACCCCCAGGTCTCTTGTTTGTTACGAAATATGTACTGATATCTTTATACTTTTTATTCATTTTTGATGAATATTTGCTCAAAAGTAGGACTAAGACAGCTTCAGCTCACGAACCCGGTTCAAACGAACCTTGAGGGTGTGGGTGTGGGTATGGGTGTGTGGGTGGATGTAAATTTGTGTGATTCAAATAAAGCCACAACCACACCCACACCCTGATAAATGAGAGAATAAATAAATTGCCTATCAAACAAAGGTAAGATATTAATTGCCTATGGCGGTCGGCACGGTGGCGTTTTAGGTCATCTGCACACTCACAACTGTGTCTTTTATTTATTAAATGTAACATTGTATGGATGTGAGCGCGTAGGAGAGAGAAGGTCAATCCTCGATGAAAAGGTCAATAACCGCTACATATTGGACAGAGACTTTTGTTTTCTCGAATTGTGAATGGCTGAAAAATATTTTCGATAATATGACTGAAGTAAAACTATCAAGAAATATTGCTGTGACCGATCCCATACATCATGTCCGCATTCAAGGACGTCTGTCGAGCTCATGCATTCATGTTTAGGCACAGCACATCTTATTTTTCTTCTCATATTACATGTATTATAGGCCATTCATTGAATTAAATACGAGCAAGTAGGTTGTTTCATTACAATTATTCTCTTCTCAACATACCAACAATAATTTCAATTGAACTTTAATACGTTCACCGTCTTTATTTATATACTTATTTAAAGTTTTTCTTTTTAACTGATCCAAATGTGTGAGTGAATTTTTTTATAGAAAATTTTATTATTTAACTATCTCTCTATTACAAAGGCAATGAATGCTAATTCCAATTTATCACCAACGAATAAAGATTCCACACTTATGGATACATCTTCAAATTTGAATACGATTCAACCAGCTACATCTCATGATG